TAAAACAAACGAGAAAATATAGCAAATGGGTAGACTAGACATTAATTGAAAGCGCCCTGGCATTTAAAGTATGGAATGAAATATAATTCATGTAAAAAATTGTTGATTTTAACGGACACGACTTCGAAAATATTTGCAAAATTATTCAAAACAAAAATTCAAACTCAAAAGTTAAGAAAACTCTCGAAAAGTTAAGCTTCTTAACCCACTCAAATTGTAGAATAAATCCTAAAGTTTAATTATTGTGAACACGAAAATTTTTTATATTTGGCGACACAGTTTATTTTAAAGAAATGTATCTCAAACGAAAATTTGGAAATTGTCGTTGCTTAGTTGATAAACAAAATGTTTCAGACGATAAATTTGTCAACAATCACCTTTAGTTCATGTTCTTGTACAATACAATTTCTAGCTTGAACCTTCTGGCTGTATTTATTCCTAGTTTTTAGAATGACATGTTTATTTTTGCGCTTGAAATCTGGCTGTAAAGACGCACAATGAAGTCACTCCTTTTTACCGCCATTTTGAGCCTTCGGAAACGTTCGGAACAGCTTCTCATCAAGTTCGCAATACTATTACAGGTAAGGTTGACGCATGCGCAGACGTTTTTCCGCGGTGTTGAACGTGATGTCAAGTGTTCGGAAGGTTGTCAAAAACTTAGCCCGCGAACAGGCTCTAGATCTCTTTGAACTCTCTTTGAAATTTGAGAGAGAGCCTGCAGGCCTAGCTAATAAAAACGCGTCTGTGCGTTGTTATAGAACGACGCAGGGTTCCCATTGGTTGAAATTGAATTAACTACATTATACTGCCATAAAAGGTAATTAAATTTACACAACAGTAGATTCAAATCGAAAAATGTCGTTCTATAGCGACAAGTTGTATAGAAAACTAAATCTTTGTTTAAAGTTAAAGGATGGACAGTCAAAAGCTCTTAACAATATTCTAGACTGAAACGATGTTTATGCTACGTGCTAAAAATCATATCATTATAAACGGACATCAAATTGAACGATTTATAAAAAAGAAGTTATGGGTATAGTTATAAGACGACGAACTTATCTGGAACAGGCAAAATGAAGAACAATGCAACAAGATATCAAAAAATATTAATCTTTTAAGAAAAACCAAAGATTTTGTTGGCCTAGATACCCTACAAATTATGTATAACGCATTAGTTATTCCTCATTTTAACTACTGTTCAACTGTATATGGCAAAATAATAACCAAACACACTTAGACAAATTGTATAAGCTTCAGAAACGAGCAGCAAGAATTATAGCAAATTTGGATTATAGTGTAAGATCCTCGGACACTTTTCAAAAACTTGGCTGGAAACCTCTTGATTTAATTTTGAAAAAGCACGATCTTTTCATGACATTTAAAGCGATTAATGGCATGCTTCCAGAAAACATAACACAACTATTTCACACTTCTTAAAACAGTGGTTACGTACTGTGCTACTGTAAATTAATTAAAGCTGTCTCAACCTAAACCAAAAACAAACTTCTTGAAAAATTGCTTTTCGTACAGAGGAGCAGCGTATTGGAGCAACATCCCAATAAACTTGTTGAAAACCCTAGGAGAGTCAACAAGTTTAAAAATTGTCCATAATCTATTAAATGATCACATCTTCACAAGCTTATAAACCCTTTATTGTTTTTATATTCAAATATTATTAATAAGTTTAAAACATCATTAATAATTCATACACCTTGTGGCAAATCATGTCAGCCATATATGTCACATGGAGTGACTTTATATTTGATAAAGCATGTGGCATTATATAATTGTTCATCCTAATTAGTATGATTAAACAATGGTTCATCCTAATTAGTATTCTTTAGTAGTCGTATTTTATTAAGCTATTCAAAACACTTGTTGTCGTGTTTTATCAGACATAAAACGCTCGGCTGCGCCTTGCGTTTTATATCTGATAAAACACTCCTACTCGCGTTTTAAATAGAACATAATTTAGGTTATTACTGTAGAAATAAGTTTATCTTTCTCTTATAATGTATGTATTCTCCGCACGGCCCTTTGAAAATCACCTATGTGAAAAGTTACCGTGTTTAAAGATCAATAATAATAATAATTAGATGATAGTTACCTTATCTATACCTTCATCCCCTTTGTACGTATTAAAATTCACGCCATCGTCAGAATAAGCAATAGTGTAACTTGTAACACATTTATTTGTATTCCTATGGCCTTGTGTGAGAATCTCTGTAACTGTTGCTTTATATTTGAAATCAATTTGCAGCCACTGGTTGGTGTCTCGTGACCGAGCAACCCAGCATTTATTCCCATGTAATCTGCCGTAACGTGGACCCCAGTTTGTATTCCATCCACTCGAGGCATTTATTCTTGAATTAGGGATCTTTCCACTCTGCATTCCTAACGCTTTAGGGTCTTTGCAAGCTGGAACGGAAAAATAACTTGAAATTAATCGTACATTTCGTGTGTGACTGCATGATCAGACGAAGTAGTTATCATGTTATGAAAAATTTAGCTACATACCAGTTACTAAATAATGCAATTTTTTTCGAAAATGAAGACATTACAATATTCTAAAATATACACCTTCATGTGTACGATAACCTAAGCGTTTTTGGCGCATGTGTGATAATGCGTAAATTGTATACATATTTTTCTTGTCAATTATCAATTCCAAAGAAGGCGTTTCGGCATAATGTTCTTCAATAATTCATACTGAGTGTTGGGCAAAACAACCCCGCGTTATCTACCGAAACCATTTGACAGAAGATAATTGTAATGATCTGTTACGCTATTCCCTCACCCCCATGAGAGTTGACAACTCCCCCAACAAATTTACTACATACCATGCGATCGTCCTTGTGTCCGTGGATAGTAGAGTTAAATAGGTTATTTTTCCTTGATCGCC